CCTCTGCTGGTTGTTAGTGCTCGCGGCTAGTAACAATTCAACTTACCCCTAGACTAAACTGCAGATTAAAGCGGTTGCTCCTTTCACTATAATGATAGGTAATACGGTATGAAATATAGTCCAGCAAATCCTCCGCTCTCAGGGCAAAGCTTGTCAGACCATAGTCGACTGCGGTGTCGAGATTCTGCTCAAGTTCTCTCCATTTTCTCCCCCCGTGTCATTGTCGTCGGCGTGTCTGTTAGTTTTACAGTCGTAGCAGCTCTTCCAGCAAACGGGGGAATTGCACCGCGCTCTTCGGGCCAAACCTTGTCATTTTTGAGGGTCATGTTCGGAATTTTGTTTTTCTTTCATCTTCTCAAAAAGTGCTTGATTTAAATGGCTGCTTTAGCCTCTCTATTATATATCACTATATAGCACTGAGTGGCTCAGGTAGCAGAGCAGGTTGTCAACGAATCACGAGGTTGGCAGCTCCCCTGCATGCCGGAGTGTCCTTGGGCAAGAAACTGAACCACAAGTTGCTCCCAAAATCAGGCGAGCGCCTTGCATTTGAAAGCACGATCTAAGGTTAAAAGGTGCTGTATAGGTGCTAGTCTTGCTGTGTCAGCCCATTCTGAGAATGATCTTCTTGTACCATATCATCATTCTTCCGTAGGGTAAAGACGCTTTAAAGCTTTAAAGACGCTTCTTTAAACCAATCACAGCTGTCGTGGGCGGGGCTAAGGAAATGGTTGTTGTGGAACATTTGCATGCAGGGCGACAAGTACCATCATTAAAAAAGGATATTAAACCCATAGACTGTATAAAAGATGGACGTAGCTACCGTGACGTCACCCGTTGGTTTCTGCACTGAGAGAATGAAGCCAGGGTTTTGCTACTTCCTGGTTGACATCTTGGATTTTTGGAGCCAGTGACGCAAAAATCGTCGGAGGGGGGCGGAGCCATAGGAGCAGCGATTGGTCAGACGGATTGAGAGGCGGGCCCTCTCTGCCCGCCCACATTTACCGCTTTCTGCTCACTTCGGCTGTCTGCCGACTGTCAATCAAGCCAGCCACGCCCCTTGCCCCGCAGAATGTTGACGATTTTTTAAAAATTCAGTTTTGATTTATTTTCAGATTGGCCACCTGATCTCTGGATTTGACTATGAAAACTAATAAGAAAAAAATCCTGAACTGTAGGAATGCAGTATTTCATGATCTGTGATCACTTCTTTTCCAATTCAAGTCTATGGGAGCCAGGACTTTTTGGAGCCAGCAGCTCCTGGACGTAGGTTTTTGACACTTCCTGGTTGGCTTCATTTTTCAGGGCCGGTTGCTACGTCCATTTTTTATACAGTCTATGATTAAACCACAAGAACATAGCAGGCCTGCCTCACTAAACAATCCAAATTCTTGTCAAAACTTGAAATTTTCAGCGTGGCAGGTTGCTGCTTTGAGGTTGCTGTTGTGGATATAGAAGTGCAGATGATTTACCACCAGCATTAAATGACACCATCTCTACTCTGCCAGCTTTTCTCAATATTTTCTGCCTTGTAATTCTGGTTTTATGTCTAAGAATTCTAATGGCATCAGAAATCAGACAATCGTCAGCTAGTTTTTGTACTTTACTATTGTTTTTCCATGAAATGCCTGCATCACAACAGACACATATCTTCAATTCGTGCACTTCCTCATATGGGAAGGGTATAACAAAGAGAATATTTCTTTCTTATGATCAATAGTTGGGAAGCAGTTTGACCACGCCGTGTGTGTGAAAATCAAATTAATAGATCAAGAGGACCTTTGACAAGAAATGCAAGTAAAGATGTGGTGACCCTTCTGTGTTATCTCGTCTCAGCAGGGTTTCCCTCGGCACGTCCATCCTGTCCTGACCTCCCCCCCTCAGTTTCTCAACCTCACAGCACAGAGACGAGGCAGCAACAGAGGGAGAGAGAGCGAGCAGGCAGAGTTTCAGAAACATTAAGCGCTCCCTCGAGACGCACACAGAAAAACACAGACAAAGTGTTGGTTCTCTACATCTCTCTGTATCGGCTCTGTTTCGTTTGGCCTCAGTGCCACAGACTGCTGACATACTGTCACATGTGCACATGCTGTGTATTCTTTATCTGTCTGCTTCTCCCTCATCATCCCCGACGTGACAGGCAGCAACTTCCCACTGACGGAGACTCTTATTATTATTCAAGTAACTCCATTGTTAGGTTTTCTGCTTAGAAGTGAAGAAAGAAGAAAAAAAAAAAGAAAAAACACTGGGCTGCACTTGCTCTTTGAAGTTGTCAAGGCTCATTCCCTGGTTGCAAACTGACATAAAGTTCATAGATGAATACATTATCCAAGACAATTCAATGTCTTTCTGGTCTGTAGTGTCATAGCCTGTAGGCTTATGGACTAAAGAGTTCAACATTAGTTATATAAAGTTCAACAGTGAGTGGAGGAGAAAGCTCCCTGCCAGATACTCCGAGACAATTAATTCAACCCGTCTCCTCATCTTCACAGACCCCTGACTCCCAAGGCCAGTCAGGAGAAGGACAGACGGAGAGGGATGACATGGGTCATGGAGGATGTGCTCGTGCATATACATAGTACGTCTCTATGACACATGTACACACCCTCTTACGGACGCTTGTGTGCGTGTGTGCGGCCTGTATTTGTCTGTTGGTCCGTGCATGCATGCGTATACTGTATATGTGTCGTCAGCACTGTTGCACTGACACACACACACACACACACACCTGTCCAGGAGAGTCAGATTCTCCCCTAATGGCACCATGGGGACCCGAGACATTAGCATATTAAAAGGTGACATTTCGCAGCCTGAGCCTTGCAGGAGGAGTGCAGGCCGATCACTCTGACAGCCTGACAGCCAAACAGGCAGGCCGGAGAACAGACATGTGAGACTATGGAGTGCAACACAATGGAAATATAGGAATTTGAGTCTGGAAAACACCTGTACAGTCACAGCGGGAGCCTCACAATAAGGTTTGTAATCTGATTTGTGAGATCAATGTCCCAAAACAACTTTACATCTGACCCCTCCGATGCGGTGGTCCAGTAAGTCATGCCTGAAAACACAACAAAATAGTTTCAAACTACATTTATACATCAGCTTTGAATTATAATTGAGGCCTCAAGCTAAGGTCAAAGACCAAATTAACTCATGCACTGCAAATGAACTCACAGAAACTGCTAAACAAAAATAATTCTACAGTTTGTGTAATATTAATTAGATTTCTAAACCCGTGAACTGCTGATTTTTACTGCTGCATGCGCACACGCACAACATTTTTATGCAAGTATTGCTCATCACAACCTGTGCCCAGACTACGTAAAACAGGTACAGGCAGAAAAACACACATATTTTAGCATCTGATCCAAAAATAACAGCACCTGATTCACAGTCTGGGATGAGTAAACATTTATTTTCAAACATGTTCTTGCATGTGAAATCATGGTGATTGACTATGGTTCTGCTGCTGTTACACACATGCGCGCACACACACACACACATACACACACACACACGCCGAGGACCAGCAGTTGAGAGAAGTGTGACAATGGCTGAGTTCAGTAATTGGCTCTGAACTGCAGTTTCAGCAAAAGCCTCGGTCCTGTCGGAAACCTGTCAGTATTTGGCATCTGTTAGTCTCATTTTCCTCTGCAGGGCAGCGAGATGTTACCTACCTCACCGCTGTCACATGTTACAACGGCTTCTCCAACCACTTCTGCTAAAACTAATAATACTTCTGTCAAAGCTGAGGCAACAGAAATGACCCGTCTCTCTCCTACGAAAATATTGGACTATATGTTGAGGGGAGCAGGAGACAGAAGGAGGTTTCCACAGCAAAAAGGCAGCAAGTGAGGAAAATGCTCACAGCAAGACGCTGATTAATACCAACTGTTTATCAAACAGCAATATCCGAGCACAGAGCGCTTTTCATCTAAAGTCTAATGATGCTGCCGCATGAAGTGATGCAAAACTGAGGGATTTTCCATTTTCAGATAACCTGTACTGTGAGCGAACTCGTTCTCTTCCTGCTTTCCAGCTCATAAGCTAACAATTACAGTAGGCACTCCTCTCTGTGTGTGTCCTGTGATAGACAATTTTCAGGTGGTAGCATCTTGTAGAGTTGTCCTCTGTTTTCCTTGCCTCTTCAGTTTCTTTACAACTATTCCATCAACACAAGGGCCAATTTTGCAGAGTGCCAATTTTGTCTGGGCACTGAATAGAGCTGCCCAGCAGGAGTCCCGAGATGTAATACGAAAAAACTTCCCTACTGTACCCTCTAAAAAGAATCAATGTGGGTAACGGCAAAAAATTATAAACAGCTGTGTTTCAAGATCTTGGAGTGTAAGCACAGTAATTGTAGTTACAGAAACCTGCTTTATTGTTCTGTTAACCCTGGATGTTTTAGAAGCTCGTGATGGGGGAGCCAAACATTTGACTCATTCAGTTTGAAATCAGAAAAAAAGATGCAAATCAGCACCTTCAAAGACCTTTTGTGACTAACTCCACTCTTCATGTGGCTTATTGTCAAAAAAAATTACTCATATTCAAACATTTCTGCAAGATCAGCTGCTAATTCTTGTTGAAATCTTCATTCTGTTCAGACATTTCACTACTTCGAAAAGCCAGCTGTCCATCAGCATGGATTTTGTGACTCCTCCAGGGAAACGAACATTCAATCACTTTCCAAATCTTATGGCTGCTACATTCAGCTGTACTACTGCATGCTAAGATTTTGGGGAGAGAGAAAGAGAGGAATGACGTTCAGCAAAGAGGGACAATGTGGTTATGTAAGACTGCTGCACCAGACACCAGAACTTATCCCCAGAATTTGGGAGGTTGTTGGAAATTATTCTTATATACAGACACCCAGGTGAAATAACTACAAAGCAAATACCTTGTCTTCTTCACTGACAATAATTTAAGTTAAAAAGAAAATCTTTCTCAGAAGAGACAAGAGGATAAGCAGAGTGGAAACCTTCGCTGTCAGCCTTTAATCTTACCTTCATTAGTACTGACTCGCTGAGTTTCTCACGGTTGACGATCTTTATGGCGACTTTCTGGCATGTTACACAGTGGACTCCCAGCTTGACCAACCCTGAGAAAACAAACAGGAAACACACACTTCATTAGGTCAAGCAGGTCAAACGCTCTTTAAGATATCTGCCCTGAGGACAAATGGCAACAAGACGACGCTCGTTCGCACGGCACCAAGAAAGCAAGTCACGGCCAATTATGCACAGTGCCGAATGTGAATTTCTAGTCGGCATATTACACAAGGATGCAAAATTACCGCCGATTTAAAGTGCCGTGTGTGGGAAATTAAGGGGTTTTGTTGGCCACCTACTAATGTACATTGACCAAACTGGTGTAAAATGGTGCGTGACCTCATGTTCAGAACGCTCATAATGACTCCCAAAGTGTTGTACAGTTCTTTAAATAAACTGCCCTCTGGGGTTTATTTGAGCCCTAAAGGCGGTAAGCGAGTGGGCCATTTGTGTTATTGATTCCGATAATGCACTAAAACCCGCTGTAATGCAGTTGTGTTAACTTGGCTGAAATGGCACCAAACAACAGCGTGGGAAAGATAAAAAAAGGTCAGACACTTAATGGAACTAATTATTGACCATCAACCCCCCGCCCCTCTAAAAAAAAAATGACAACAATACAATATCAGGGAGGGTAAATTAGAAAGCTGCATTTCAACAACCCAGCAGAAAATATATTTACTTCACAACACAAACACATTGATACGCGGGGAGAGATCGGAGCGTTTGATGCGCCATGCCAGTCGGTTCTACTGGGATTCCCGCGCAAACATTCTGTCAAAACTCTCACAAATTCCTGTGATTTTTTTTTTCACGAGCACAAAAAGCGTCTCCCCTGCTTTGCTTTGCTAAATATCCCCAGGTATCCTTAGTTAAATGATCAGTCACGAACAATGTAGAAAGCAGACAGTGATACCGAAACGCGTGCGGTTACAGTGGAACAAAGTGGGGTTTGCATTTGATGCAGGGGGGAACCATGACAACAGCACCAATCCGTTTTCCGCCGCGTTAGAAAGACGTCGGCGTCGCACCGGTTGCTTACACACTGAAACAAACTCTATTAAAGATTTCCCCTATGGCCTTGTGGTGCTGCAAGGATTTAAGAAACAACAGAAGATGATTTTAAACTTTGCAAACTGAAACACTGAAGAGGAATAATGTGGATTTCTTTCCGCTCTCCTGCTGGCAGATATGAAGATTGTGGAATTAAGTTAATTAAGCAGCACTTTAATGTCCCTAAAACAGAAATGATGCAGTTCCTGTAAAGAAGCACGTCCAGGGGAGAGAAGCAACGCCCTGCAAGCGAGCTCTCTGGCTGACACGAACCAGGCGGCTTGCATGGGTTTCTGGCTCGCTCACCTCCGTCTCCCTCACACTTTTATATCTATATGAACCGCTGAAAGAGGCGAGTCAATGGGCTTTGAAGCGGCGGCGAAGTGCAGGAGAGTAGAAAGCGGTCTTCTGATGCCACGGGAACATCAAGGAGGCGAGAGAAATGCGGGGAGGGAAGCAAGAGTGGTGATACAGAAAAGGAGAAAAAAAAGGTAAATAAAGAGCAATTGAAGGATGAAGGAAAAAGAGGTGGAGACGAACGGACGGCGCATTATTCAAATGACAGACAATTAAGCAATAATGGAGAGTGCTGCGTGGGAGTCGGGCTCCGGCTCGGGAAGTTTTAGGGGCCGTGGGGGGACGAGAGCCGAGAATGACAAGAGAGATTGGAAGCAAGTGCTAAAAAGAGGAAGATAAAAGAAGATTTGGAAAAGGGGACGAGGCAGCTGGGCAGCGAGGAGGTGGTGGTGGTGGGGGGACGACAACAGACAAACCCATTAGCCCTGCGATAGTAATCATATGTTAATGGGCGCTATAGAGAAGCTCATAAGTCATGATAAACACATTAAAGAGGAAAATATCTGCCTGCAAACACATGAAAAGTTAACTGGATTATTTGCCTCGCTATCCATCTTCCTCCAATGCCTGTGTTTTTGTTGAGCTGAGGGCACATTAGCAAAGAAGGAAATGTGCGCGGGGAACGCGGCGCATTACGATTTTACAACCACTTTGTGTACGGGATTGAAATGAACTGTTAGAAGAGCAGTTCGGTACATAATAGACCGGGACAGAAGACATAAGCCTCTTTTTTATGCTGCATACATAAAAGATCATGAGTTAAAAAAAACACAACAAGAGAACGAAACTAATGGTCACGCAGAAACACATTCGACTGACCACGTGGCAGCGCTTGATGAAAAGTCAACGGAATACCAAAGTTGTTAAATAAAACCCCCCCGCGGTGAGCATTTATGTCTGTGCCAAATTTTATTGCAATCCATTCAAAAGCTGATGAAACATCTCACTTGAGGCCAAACACATCAACTTGACCTATGACCATGTCGGTGTAGAAAGGAACAGCAAACTCATTCAGTGTCTGTTGAGATATTTCACCCAGAACCAAAGGCGTTAAAGCCCACCACCGCCGTTCCTATAAAGCCGTGCTGGTGCTATTTCATGTATTTTACATCAAAATAAGGGCCTAGAGAGCCCAAAAACAAGCTAAAGCACGTCGTTTTGTGTGGGTGTTATGTGCAGAATTTCACACAACCATTTCCCAACGTGCAGCGCTTGCACATAATGTCAAAGTGTGGAACACAGACGGAGTCGTATTTACCAATCGGACTGCACATGAATTAAAGAAACAAAGAGACACTTTTTGATCCCAGATAAAAAAAAAAAACAAAAAAGAAACCAAATAAATAAAACAAAATCAGAGAATAAATAAATAAAAAATCTGTGAGCTTCTTTTGCTTTTGATTTGGTTCAACAAAACAGCTTTTGTTTGAAGCAGATACAGAGGCATGTGGTTGAGATCTGTGGAGTTGCAGAGAAACCAACTTTCTGCCTTTGAAAGATCTTTCCATTTACAGTGTCTTTGCAGAACCTTAACGCCATTTTAAACCAGTGTCTCTAAGATAAATGATGATTAAAAACTTCTCTGTATGTCTTCCATGCCTCGTGTCCAACCCTAACATGTACGATGTTCTTACAGTAATTGCGTTCTGACTTCACTTGCCCCAAGTATGTTGTGATATCTAATTAACTTCGATCTCCCCATGACCCAAAATGAACTCCCTTCTACTTCCCCTCTAATGTGCCGTAATGAGGGTGATTACCTGCTCCCAGTGTCCTTTTCACCTGTCTGCACCAACACCCCCTCGCAGCTCTGGATGTCCAGGCTGAGCCCAAAGCGGAGCTGCGAGGTTAGGCAGAAGGATGTTTGGGAGATGTCCGGGTAAGACACCGGGGTTTCGTCTGGATCTGGCAGGGCTGAGCAGGTAGGTTGTCTTTGAACATAGCTTCAAATGTGAGGCTTTGACTGAAAGCACAAAGGATCGGAGCCTCATGGGGGGAATACAGACAAGATTCCAGTTTCCAGTGCACGTGATTGGTGTGTGTGTGCATATGAAGCTAGTGAGTGCAGGAATGTGTAGATTCTCTTTCTAGATAGTGCAGCAGCCCTGCGTTGTGACTCGTATCAGGTCATCTATGAACCGCACATGCAGACTGGCGTCGTCACATACGGTACGGTTTCTATGCTTTTCATTGACACATAGACAAAAACAGGCTGTGCAGCAAAGTTTGCGATGCCACTGAATCGGCAAGTGTATTGATGTCTCCTCTCCTTTGCCCTCCACCCAAATCGATAGCATCAAATGTTCTTGCCTTCACAACAGTGTCAGAATAATGGCATCAGCCAGAGACTTATGGGCTGGAGAGGCCACCATTGACTGACCCCCAGCCTCCATCCCAACTCTTTCCATGCACCCCTGTGATTAATGATCTAATGTTGGAGGGGGGGGACTGCTATTGGTCCATGGCTCAGGGTTTTGCTGCACATTAAAGGAAGCTGCTGCATTGCTTGGAAGCTAGCAAACCAGCCATTTAGGAGAAACCGGCTGGAAAACGAAGGGTCAGAGTCAAAGTAAGAAAAAGAAACCAACACAAGAAAAATCTGATACCTTTTAACCATCAATGGAAGAACTTAATGAAAAATGTGCAAAAAGATGTAGAACTATGACCAATCAGCTACTCTGCAAACTTGGAAATGAGCTTACTGTCTCACTTTGCCGTCTCTTTATAAGTTATCGCCTTTCTTAATGTCATTGCTTAACTTGCTGTCCTAAAAGTGACATCTAATGGTGCCAGCTAAATTCACTTTGACAGCATGTAGTTGAACTTGTTGAACTGAGCAGCTTTGTGCCAAAGATTTAATGGACAAAGACTTGATGGCCAAGAACATTTTCAACCAATCTGGGATTTTAAATAGCCTTCAGTGCATGTGGCTGCCCGTATATCTCACCCACCAACACCAACAAACAAGTTATATCTGTCACTATTTGGTGCGATAAGGAGTTTTCAGTAACGTGTGATATAACCAAATAAATGGGTTCCAAAGTTTCAGAGCATCTGAATGAACTTTCGTAGACTACCAAGTGAGAGCTGTTTATGTGTATTTTTATTTAAGTCTTTGGACTACTTGTGGGAATTCCCAGTGGACTCTTGTTGGCATGTTTATGTTTGCCTTCCTCTGCAATCCCTTAGAGCTGTTTAGCCTGGCAAAGCAGGCAGGAAACCCCCACCACCCAAGGAGAGAAACTCTCTCTTCTTCCTCTTCTTCTGTTAACTTGAGAGAGCCTTGCCTGTTGCCGTTTTCAAAGTAGCCTGATCAGTGTTTGATTTATCATCGAGCATCTAGGGAAGAGCAGGTAGGAGAGGAGAAGGACCCTGACTGTGTGCCTGATTTCCGATGCCATCAATCAGAAACACACAAAGAGGCAACTGGAGGAGAGCGAGAACAGGAACACCCTGCTTGCACTTGAGTCGAGGAAAAGCTCTTTATGATCTCCACCTGCTTAACCACACACATCCCGGAGAGCCACACACATGCGGTCGGTGTTTTCTGCTTCATCCTCCTCACAGCTCCGGCATCCATGTGGTTAAAAAATCATTACTGGATTAATTTCCATCTGGAAGCAACTACAAGGAGAGGAGA